CCGATGCCCTTTGGACCGGTGCCCTTTTCAACCGGTGCCCTTTTAGATGGGTTGTTTGTGGGAGTATAAACGATTTGGTTGAGATTTTAGATCGTATGGTGGTGAATGTTTAGACCAGGTGGTGGTGGGAGTTTAGTCCGGATGGTGGTGGGAATTTAGACTAGGTGGTGGTTGGATTTTTGATGGGGTGGTGGTGGGAGTTTAGACTGGGTGGTGGCGGGAGTATAAAGGGGTGCTGGTTGGAGTCTGGACCAAGTGGTGGTGAGACTTTAGACCGGGTGGTGGTGGGAAATTAGACCGGTGGTAAAGGCGTTGAGACTGAATCGTGCAGGGAGTTTTGACCGGGTGGTGTTGGTAGTTTAGACCGGGCAGTGGTGGTAGTTTAGACCGTGTGGTCGTGGGTGTTTACACGGGGTGGTTGTGGGAGTTAAGACTGTGTGGAGGTGGGAGTTTAGACCCGGTGGTGGTGGGAGTTTAGACCAGGTGGTGGTGGGAGTTTTCTCCGGATGGTGGTGGGAATTTTGACCGGGAGGTGGTGGGAGTTTAGACCGGGTGATGGTGGGAGTTTAGACCGGGTGGTGGTGGTAGTTCAGACTGCGTAGTGGTGGGAGTTTAGACGGGTTGGTTTTGGGAGTTTTAACAATTTGGTTTTGGGAGTTTAGACCGTATGGTGGTGGGAGTTTAGACCAGGTGGGATGGCGGTGGGAATTCAGACCGGATGGTGGTGGGATTTTAGTCCAGATGGTGGTGGGAGTTTAGACCGGATGGTGGTGGGAGTTTTGACCGAATGGTGGTGGGAGTTTGGACCGTGTGGTGGTGGGAGTTTAGACCGAGTGGTGGTGGGAGTTTAGACCGGATGGTGGTGGGAGTGTAGAGTGGGTGGTGGGGGGAGTATTGATGGATGGTGGTGGGATTTTAGACCATGTGGTGGTGGGAATTTAGACCGGGTGGTGGAAGGATGTGAGACATAGTCATGCTGGGAGTTTAGACCAGGTGGTGTTGGGAGTTTAGACCGGTTGGTGGTGGGAGTTTAGACCGGTTTGGCAGTTTAGAGTGGTTTGGCAGTTTAGACCGGGTGGTGGTTGGAGTTTAGAATGGGTGGTGGTGGGAGTATAGACGGGTGGTGGTTGGAGTCTAGACCGTGTGGTGGTGGGTTAGTAGACCAGGTGGTGGTGGAAATTGAGACCAGCAGTGGAAGGAGTTGAGACTAAGGTGTGCTGGCAATTGAGACCGGATGGTTGTGGGAGTTTTTTCCAGTTGGTGGTGGGAGTTTCGACCGGGTGGTGTTGGGAGATTAGACCGGGTGGTGGTGGGAGTTTAGACCGTGTGGTCGTATGTGTTTAGACGGGTTGGTCGTGAGAGTTTAGACTGTATGGTTGTGGGTGTTGAGACTCGGTGGTGATGGGAGTTGAGAGCAAGTGGTGGTGGGAGTTTTTTCCGAATGGTGGTGGGAATTTAGACCGGGTGGTGGTGGGAGTTTAGACCGGATGGTGGTGGGAGTTTTGACCGGGTGAGGGTGGGAGTTTAGACCGGGTGGTGGTGGGAGTTTAGACCCGGTGGTGGTGCGAGTTTAGACCGGGTGGTGGTGGGAGTTTAGACCGGGTGGTGGTGGGAGTTTGGACCAGGTGGGGGTGGGAGTTTAGACCGAGTGGGTGTGGGTGTTTCAATCGGATGGTGTTGGGAGTGTGGACTGGGTTGTGGTGGGAGTATAGGCGAATGGTGGTGGGAGTTTAGACCATGTGGTGGTGGGATTTTAGACCGGGTGGTGGTGGGAATTTAGACCAGGTGGTGGTGGGAATTTAGACCGGGTGGTGGAACGAGTTGAGACTGAGTCTTGCTAGGAGTTTAGACCAGGTGGTGTTGGGAGTTTAGATCGGTTGGTGGTGGGAGTTTAGACCGGTTGGGCCGTTTAGACCGGGTGGTTGTGGGAGTAGTATAGCTGGGTTGTGGTTGATGTCTAGACTGTGTGGTGGTGGGATTTTAGACCGCGTGGTGGTGGAGGTTTAGACCGGTGGTGAAAGGATTTGACCGCGTGGTTGTGGGAGTTCTATCTAGTTGGTGGTGGGAGTTTTGACCGGGTAGTGTTGGGAGTTTAGACCGGGTGGTGATGGGAGTGTAGACGGTGTGGTCGTACATGGTTAGATGGGTTGGTTGTGGGAGTTTAGACTGTATCGTTGTGGGTGTTGAGACCTGGTGGTGATGGGAGTTTAGAGCAAGTGGTGGTGGGAGTTTTGTCCGGATGGTGGTGCGAATTTAGACCAGGTGGTGGTGGGAGTTTAGACCGGGTGATGGTGGGAGTTTAGATCGGGTGGTGGTGGGATTTTAGACTGGGTGGTGGTGGGAGTTTAGACCGGGTGGTGGTGGGAGTTTAGATTGGGAGGTTGTCGGAGTATAGACGGGTGGTGGTGGGATTTTAGACCGGGTGGTGATGGGACCTTAGACCGGGTGGTGGTGGGAGTTCAGATCGGGTGGTGGTGAAATTTTAGACCAGGTAGTGGTGGGAGTTAAGACCGTGTGGTGGTGCCGTTTTTGACCAGTGCAATTTTCGACCCGTGCCCTTTTCGACTGGAGCATAAACGGGTGGTGGTTGGATTTTAGACCGGATGGTGGTGGGATTTTAGACTGGGTTATGCTGGGATTTTAGACCGGTAGTGGAAGGAGTTCAGATTGAGTCGTGCTGGGAGTTTAGACTGGGTGGTTGTGGCAGTTTTTTCCTGATGGTGGTGGGAGTTTAGACCGGCTGGTGGTGGGAGTTTAGACCGGGTGGTGGTGAGAGTTTAAACCGGATGGTGGTGGGATTTTAGACCCGCTGGTGGTGGGAGTTTAGACTGGGTGTTGGTGGGAGTTTAGACGAGGTGGTGGTGGGATTTTAGACTAGGTGGTGGTGGGAGTTTAGTCTCCATGGTGGTCGGAGTGTAGACAGGGTGGTGGTGGGAGTAGAGACAGATGGTGGTGGGAGATTAGACGATGTGGTGGTGGAATTTTAGACTGGGTGGTGGTGGGAATTGAGACTGAGTTGTGTTGGCAGTTTAGACCAGGTGGTGTTGGGAGTTTGGACTGGGTGGTGGTGGGAGTTTAGACTGGTTGGTGGTGGCGGTTTAGACCGCGTGGTAGTGGGAGTTTAAACAGGGTGGAGGTGGGAGCTTCGACCGGTTGGTGGTGGGAGCTTAGACCGGGTGCTCTTGGAAGTTATGACCGGGTGGTGGTGGATGTTTAGACTTGTTGGTTGTGGGAGTTTAGATCCAGTGTTGGTGGGAGTTTAGACTAGATGGTGGTGGGAGTTTAGACCTTTTGGTGGTTGGAGTTGAGACTGGATGATGGTGGGAGTTTAGACTAGGTGGTGGTGTGAGTTTAGACTGGGTGGTGGATGACGTTTAAACTGGGTGGTGGTGGGAGTTTAGACTAGGTGGTGGTGGGAGTTTAGACTAGGTGGTGGTGGGAGTTTAGACTAGGTGGTGGTGGGAGTTTAGACCGGATGGTAGTGGGAGTTTAGACCGGGTGGTGGTGAGAGTTTAGAGCGGATGGTGGTGGGAGTTTAGACTGGGTGGTGGTGGAAGATTAGACAGGATGGTGGTGGGAGTTTGGACCCGGTGGTTTTGGAAGTTCAGACCGGATGGTGGTGGGGTATTAGTCTGAGTGGTGGTGGGAGTTTAGACTTGGTGGTGGTGGGAGTATAGACTGGGTGGGGGTGGGAGTGCAGGTTGTCCGTGGTTTGAGTTTAGACTGGGTGGTGGGTGGAATTCAGACCGGGTGGTGATGGGAATTTAGACCGGGTAGTGGTAGGAGTTTAGACTGGGTGGTGTTGGAATTTTAGACCGGGTGGTGGTGGGAGTTTAGACCGGGTGGTCGTTTTTGTTTAGACTGGATGGTGGTGGGAGTTTAGACCGGGTGGGTTTGGAAGTTCAGACCGGGTGGTGGTGGGAGTTTAGACCGAGTGGTTGTGGGAGTTTAGACCTGGTGGTGGTGGGAGTATAGACAGGGTGGGGGTGGGAGTGTAGGTGGGCCGTGGTTTGAGTTTAGACTGGGTGGTGGGTGGAATTCAGACCAGGTGGTGGTGGGAGTTTAGACTGGGTGGTGATGGAAGTTTATACTGGGTGGTGGTGGGAGTTTAGATGGGTTGGTTGTGAGATTTTAGACCGTGTGGTGGTGGGTGTTTAGACCCAATTGTGATGGGAGTTTGGACCGGTTGATGGTGGGATTTTAGACCGGGTGGTGGTGGGAGTTTAGACCGAGTGGTGGTGGGAGTTTAGACTGGTTGGTGGTGGGATTTTAGACCATATGGTTGTTGGAGTTTAGACTGTGTGGTGGTGGGATTTTAGATCGGATGGTGGTGGGAGTTTAGACCCGCTGGTGGTGGGAGTTTAGACTAGGTGTTGGTGGGAGTTTAGACGAGGTGGTGGTGGGTTGTGGTGGACACCTGCAACTAGACACAAGCCACCACAACCAACAACAACCCACCACAATCCACCACAACCCACCACGACCCACAACAACTCACCGCAACCCACCACAATCCACCACAATGAACCAGAACTACCTGCAACTCACCACAACCCACCACAACTCACCACAACCCACCACAACCCGCCACAACCCACCACAACCCACCATAGCCCACCACAACTAAACACAAGCCACCACAACCCACAACAACCCACCACAACCCACAAGCCACCACAACCATCCACAACCCACCACAACCCACCCACAAACCCCCACAACTCACCACAATCGACCAAAACTCAACACAACCCACCACAACCCACCACAACCCAACACAACCCTCGACAACCCACCACAATCCACCAAAACTCACACAACCCACCAAAACTCACACAACCGGCCACAACTCACCACATGTACCCACTGTTAGGATTAAGGACAGAGTCTAGGTGAACTTAGGAGCTAGAATTACTCAAAATATAAATCCGAAATTCTGGACAGAAAAGTCGTCTTCACAAGAAACGACGTCGACAAAACACTAGCCGTTGGAATGTCGCGAAACTTGGATATGTTGTAGCTCTTGATCTCAGCTACCGTTCCCAATTTGAATCACGTTGATTGATGAAGTATTCGCGACGCTATGGCTTTCGACGCACTAGGGGGTAAGCTGTAGGAGGAGAACTTAACTCAATCTCAAGGGTTCAATCAAAGTTCAAGAATCTCACAAGGAATTAGAAGGAGCAAGAGAAAGGTTGGGATAGGAAGAGAGGGATGAGAGGGAAGGTCCCAAGAGAGTCCCCAACCAAGGAAACCCCATAAGCACAAAGATTCCCTCCCTATAGGAACCCCAACTTTGACATTTGTCCCTTCCCAACCAATCCATCCAAGTTGGCCACCCTTGCCAACCTAGCTTGGTTGTTCCCAACCAATTTGCAGCTGTTACAGTGAGTGACAAATTTCCCAAACCCCCAAAGGTCCCAACTCCATATAGAGTCACCCCACAACTTCACTTTGTAACCGCCGCAATTGTAACGCAAGCTCATGAACTTTGAATCTTCATAGCTTTCGCGTTCTTGCTCCGATTGAAGGGATTCTTGTTGCGTCGGAAAGATCTTCTCAAGATCTATTATCACAAATACCTGCTCAGACAGAATAACACAAAACACATTCCCAAACTCCAGAACACACCACACACAAATTCTTGCACACGTTCAAACCACACATGCAAGTTGAAAAAATATGGGATGGGAGGCAGACAGAATGTGATAGCATATGATGACATCACACAACAATCTCCCCCTCTGGCTGCCAACCATCATCCACCATACCAACATCTCAAGCATGCATACTCAATGCACACTCATCCCAGCAAGCTTCATGCCCTTCCAATGATCCGCCTCCGCCAGACGCTTAGTGAAAATATCTGCTGCCTGCTGATGGGTCTTCACTATCTCCAGCCGCACCTCCTTATCAAGGAGTCTCCTCACCCAATGCCACTTAGGCCTTATGTGTTTTGTCAGCCCATGCAGACAAGCATTCTTGGCCAGCTTCACTGCAGACTCATTGTCACAGAACACAACTGTCGGCTCCTCCTGACCAACTCCCAACTCCTCCAACAAACGCCTCAGCCATACCACTTCCTTGGCCCCATGGTGTAAGGCCATGTACTCAGTCTCACATGAAGACAATCCCACCTCATTCTGCTTCTTGCTGCGCCAGCTCACAGCACCACCTCCCAGCAAGCACACATAACCCCCAATTTGGTCCATTCAAGGCCTCTTCTCGAGTCTTGGGCTCAGGGATTGGTGCCCAGTAGCAGTGAGCGATCTCATCTTCCTCAATCTGCTCAACCACACTCCCAGCCTGCACCACATTCGGCTTGCCTCTTCCCCCATAGGTCAGCCTCACTGGAGGGCGCACATCCCTCCTAGGACGCTCAGGCGGGTGTGGAACTCGAGGTGGAGACTCATGCTGCTGCTGCTGCTGCTGCTCTACTTCAGCTGCTCCCCCTTCCTCAGTCACCCCAGACATCTCCTCCTCTGACACTGCAACCTCCACCTGTCTTGAAGGCTGCTGCACCTCATCTGCCTCCACAATGAGCGGTGTAGATGGAAGCTTCTGTTGCTGCTGCTTCCATTCCTTGTAGTACAGGGACTCAAGAAACTTCACATCCCTTGACACTGTCAGCTTCTGGGTGGTCAAGTCCCATAGCAGCCATCCCTTGTGATCCTTTGCAATCCCCAAGTGCACACCCCATCTTCCAGAAGCCTCCAACTTCCCTCTTTTCTCCTTAGGCACATGAAACACTACCATGCACCCAAATGCCCTCAGCATGTTCACAGCTGGAGCACTCCCATACCACTTGATATATGGGATCCACTCCTTATCTCCAACTGTAGCCAGCACCCTGTTCTTCACAAGGGCGACCTGCCTCAGTGCAGACACCCAAAACGGATCAGGTAGCCCTGCACGCCCAAGGAGAGTGCGTGCCCCCTCCTGCAGGGTCCTGTTGAACCTCTCAGCCACGCCATTCTGCTGCGGATTGTAGGGCACTGTCAGTTGATGCTGGATCCCCTTCCTCTTCAACTCCCCCTCAAAATCAGCTCCAATGAACTCCCCACCATTGTCACTGCGGATCACCTTCACCTTGTGTCCGCATTCCCTCTGAGCTCTAGGCATCCACTCCTTAAGGACAGCCGCTGCCACCTCCCCCTTGCTGTTCAAAGGGTAAACCCACACTGCCCGAGTGTGGTCATCCACAATTGTCAAGAAATAGCGGCTGCCTGAGAGGGAAGGGGCTCTTGTGGGCCCCACCACATCCATGTGCACAAGTGCAAGTGGGGTCTTGGCTGGTCCTGTTGCACTGTTGAAGGGGAACTTGGAGAACTTGGTCTCCAAGCATGTAGGGCAGCTCCCAATCTCCTTCACTTCCCCTTTCACCTCCAAGCCCTTCAGGCTCCCATTCTTCACCAACTTCTGCAGCATAGGGAAGTTCACATGACACAACCTCTCATGCCATGTCTCCCAATCGGCCTCTCCACTCCTTGATGAAGCCTTAGCCCATGCCGCACTCGCATCCACACCAGCAAGCACCTCACCATGTGTCTGCTGCTTCTGCACTTTCTTGACTGCTTCCAGGACCCCATCAGTTGGTGCAGTTGCATCTCCTCCTGCTGTTGCCTTTGCCACTGCTGCCGTTGCTGCTGTTGGAGTCTTCCCATTCCAAGGGATGATGGGCAGCTGCCACAGGTCCTTGATGCAGCTGGTCTCCTCTTCCAGACTCCACAGCACCTTCTTCCCAAGCTTAGCACGGCAGCTGGTTGGTCCAAAGGTCACTTCGGCCTTACTCTTCTGCAGCCGCCGCACAGAGAGAAGGTTAGCAGACAAGCCTTTAACCAGCAGAACATTCCCAAGCCCCACAAGCTCCCCATTAGCTCCCTTAACCTTGGCATTCCCAACACCAATAACGGGGAGCAAAGCACCTGACGCTGCTGCCACATACTTGATCTTCCCAGGGGGTTTTACCTCATCAAGCAAATCTGCCCGTGGGGTCATGTGACTGGTGCAACCCGAATCAATCACCCAGTGCGTGAGAGGGTGCATCACAACCTTTCCGACAGATCCCACATCACCCTCATGCCCATGCACATCCTCAACCATGAGATACATCCCAGGATAGGCGTTACCTTGTGCACCTTCATCTTGCACAGCGCCACCTTGTGCGCGTTCACCACTTGGCGGCTTCATGCCTGGAGGTGCCCATCCCTCCGGCCTGCTGAAGCACTTGAACCAAGGATGCCCGACCTTCTTGCAGTACCAGCAGGTGCCCTCCATTCTGGTACTCCCCCTGCCACTGGAGCTCCCATGCCCCTCATTATAGTCACCTCGGCCTCTACCTCTGCCAAAGCTCCTCCCACGGCCTCGGCCTCTCCAACCCCCTCTTCCTCTGCCGCGCCCTGCAGCTCCATACCCCTCAGCAGTCTTAGTGGCAGCACCGCCTCCCACATGGCGTCTGCGGAAGTCCTCCTGCAGAATCTGCTGCCTTAGCCACTCAGGTGTCCATTGATCTTGCTGAGAGTTGAGGGTGGGGATGAGGTTGTCCCAAGAGTTGTCCAACACCGAGATGATCTTGGTGCACTGCTGCAGCTGAGATACACTGCTGCCCGCTGCTGCCATCCTTGCATAGGTGTCCTTGATCTTGTCAAGGACCGGCTTCACATCGTCCCCTGGTTGCATGGAGATGGCAGCAAGTTCCTTCTCGAGCACGATCACCATCAGGAGAGTGTTGGGCTGAACCACATCACGTAGTAGTTTCCACGCCCTTGGACCCGAATCATCCGCTTCCACAAGATCCTTGATGTGCTCGAACATCTCCTTGTTGACCGATTGAAGAATGAGGTCGAAAAGCACCGCGCTTTTCTCAATCCACCGTTCACGTGCTTCGCCTTCTTCCGGCATCTTCTCTTCCCCAACAGCAATCTTCAGTAGCTTGTAGCGTTTGAAGGCACTCCTCATCCGTCCGCTCCATTCCTCATAGTTGGAGCCATCCAAAGCTTCAACTTTTGATGGCGGCGGCTCACTTGTCTTCTCAGGTACAGCTCCTCTTCCATTAGCATCTCCTCCTCTCTCATTCATCTTCTCCTTGAGAAATGACGAATTTCAGCTCCCCTTTGCTGTCCACACTCAGCTCCCTCGATATTTTCACAAGTGTCGGCGTCCACGAAATTTCGGCAGAGTTTCCCCTTAGCGGAAGACACATCCAACCTTTAGAACACCACTTAGGCACACCCACAGGCCATGGTGGGTCTAGAAGGGTCTTCACACTTCTGTAGACTCCTCTCAATGTCCTTAATATGGCTCTGATACCACTTGTTAGGATTAAGGACAGAGTCTAGGTGAACTTAGGAGCTAGAATTACTCAAAATATAAATCCGAAATTCTGGACAGAAAAGTCGTCTTCACAAGAAACGACGTCGACAAAACACTAGCCGTTGGAATGTCGCGAAACTTGGATATGTTGTAGCTCTTGATCTCAGCTACCGTTCCCAATTTGAATCACGTTGATTGATGAAGTATTCGCGACGCTATGGCTTTCGACGCACTAGGGGGTAAGCTGTAGGAGGAGAACTTAACTCAATCTCAAGGGTTCAATCAAAGTTCAAGAATCTCACAAGGAATTAGAAGGAGCAAGAGAAAGGTTGGGATAGGAAGAGAGGGATGAGAGGGAAGGTCCCAAGAGAGTCCCCAACCAAGGAAACCCCATAAGCACAAAGATTCCCTCCCTATAGGAACCCCAACTTTGACATTTGTCCCTTCCCAACCAATCCATCCAAGTTGGCCACCCTTGCCAACCTAGCTTGGTTGTTCCCAACCAATTTGCAGCTGTTACAGTGAGTGACAAATTTCCCAAACCCCCAAAGGTCCCAACTCCATATAGAGTCACCCCACAACTTCACTTTGTAACCGCCGCAATTGTAACGCAAGCTCATGAACTTTGAATCTTCATAGCTTTCGCGTTCTTGCTCCGATTGAAGGGATTCTTGTTGCGTCGGAAAGATCTTCTCAAGATCTATTATCACAAATACCTGCTCAGACAGAATAACACAAAACACATTCCCAAACTCCAGAACACACCACACACAAATTCTTGCACACGTTCAAACCACACATGCAAGTTGAAAAAATATGGGATGGGAGGCAGACAGAATGTGATAGCATATGATGACATCACACAACACCCACAAAAACCTACAACCTACCACAACCCACCACATCCCACCATAACCCACCACAACCCACCACAACCCACCAGAACCCACAGCAAATCACCATAATCCACCACAATCCACCACAATGAGCCACAACCAACCACTACTCACCAAAACTACCCACAAGTCCCCACAATCCACCACAACTCACCACAAACCACTACAACCCACCACAACCCGCCACAACCCACCACAACACACCATAACTCACAACAACCCACCACATCCCACTAGAACCAACAGCAGCTCACCACAATCCACCATAATCCACCACAATGAACCACAACCCACCACGACCCACCATAACTCACCAGAACTATCCAGAACTTACCACAACCTACCACAAGCCACCACAACCCACTACAACCTACCACAACCCGCCACAACCCACTATAACCCACCAGAACCCACCACAACTCAACACAACCCACCACAACCCACCACAATCCACCACAATTTACCGCAACCCACCACAGCCCATCACAACCCACCACAACAAACCACAACAAACCACAACCCACAACAACTCACAAGAACTACCCACAACTCACCACAACTCACCACAACCCACCACAACCCACCACAACTCAACACAACTTACCACAAGTCACCAAAACTCACCACAACGCCCCACAACCCACCACAACCCATCACAACCCACCATAACCCACAACAACTTACCACAACCCACCACAACCCACCACAACTCACCACAACCCACCACAACCCACCACAACTCACCACAACCCACCACAACCCACCACATCCCACGACAACCCGCCACAACCCACCACAACCCGCCACAACCCACCACAACCCACCATAACTCACCACAACCCGCCACAACTCGCCACAACCCACCACAACCCACAAGAACCCACAGCAACTCACCACAACCCACCACAATCCACCACAACCCACCACAACCCACAACAACTCACCACAACCCACCACAACTCACCACAACCCACCACAACCCACCACATCCCACGACAACCCACCACAACCCACCACAACCCGCCACAACCCACCACAACCCACCATAACTCACCACAACCCGCCACAACTCGCCACAACCCACCACAACCCACAAGAGCCCACAGCAACTCACCACAACCCACCACAATCCACCACAACCCACCACAACCCACAACAACTCACCACAACCCACCACAACTCACCACAACCCACCACAACTCACCACAACCCACCACAACCTGCCACAACACACCACAACCTACCACAACCCACCACAACCCACCACAACCCATAACAATCCATCACAACTCCCCACAACCCACCACAACTCACCACAAGTACCCACAACAACCCAGAACTCACAAAAACCCACCACAGCTCACCACAACTCACCACAACCCACCACAACCAACCACAACCCACCACAACCCACCACAACCCACCACAACTCCTCACAACCCACCACAACTCACCACAACTACCCACAACTACCCACAACTCACCAAAGCCCACCACAACTTACCACGACCAACCACGACTCACCACAAATCACCACAACCCACCATAACCCACCACAACTCCCAACATCCCACCACAACTCACCACAACTACCCACAACTACCCACAGCTCACCACATCCAGCCACAACACACCACAACTCACCACAAATAACCACAATCCACCAGAACCCACCACAACCCACCATAGCCCACCACAGCCAACCACAACTGACCACAACCCACCACAACCCACCACAACCGACCACAACCCACCACAACTCACCACAACCCACCACAATCCACCACAACGAACCACATCCCACCACAACCCACCACAACCCACCACAACCTACCACAACCTGCCACGACCCACCACAACCCACCACAATTCACCATAATCCACCACAACCCACCACAACTCACCACAACCCACCACAACTCACCACAAGTACCCTCAACAACCCACAACTAACCACAACCCACCACAACTCACCACAACTCACCATAACCCACCACAACTCACCACAATACACCACCACCCACCACAACCCACCACAACTCACCACAACCCACCACAACCCACCACAACCCACCACAACCCACCACAACCCACCACAACTCGCCACAACCCACCACAACTGACCACAAGTACCCTCAACAACCCACAACTAACCACAACCCACCACAACTCACCACAACTCACCATAACCCACCACAACTCACCACAATACACCACCACCCACCACAACCCACCACAACTCACCACAACCCACCACAACCCACCACAATCCACCACAAGTACCCACAACAACCCACAACTCTCCACAAACTCCCACAACCCAACACAACCCACCACAACCCACCCCAACCCACCAGAACCCACAACAACTCACCACAACCCACGACAATTCACGACAATAAACCACAATCCACAACAACTCTTCAGAGCTACCCTAACTCACCTCATTCCACCAGTGTTGGTGCAACCCTATGGTTTGCACTCGGCTTGTCATCCTTGTTTGTGTGTGTGCATGCATGGCATGGAATGAATTGTGAGTCTATGTCATTGCTATCTAGTGCTCTTGTGTGTGTTTGAATGGTGTATCACAATGTGGTTTGTGTCGGTCAAGACATTTGCAAGTTTTTACAACTCGCATGTCAAGTCGTCGTTTGCGTGTCGCATGTGTTTTTTCTCTTTTGTCGAGTGTGAAGTGTCCATCGCGTCGCAGGTGTGTGCAGCAAGCCCCCATCAACTCAAGAAGAATTTATCTTGCAGAACCAAGACCAAGAGCTCAAGATTTCAAGCCCAAGGGACGCGGATAAATATTAAATAGTGAAAATAGTAACGCTACTTCGTGTAGTGTTACATTTCACTTGGTATAGCCCCTTGAAGGGTTGGTTTCGAGACTCTTCGTGGTTGGGGACTCTGTGGTGGTGTACCACCAACCTGGAACTCGGCTCTAGGGGTATGTAGAGGCTGGGAACTCTTCTGGCTAAGTTTGTACTTCCAAGACTATAGTGGCCGCTATACCTCCTGCCAGTCAAACCGCCATAGCGTCGTCAAATCTTCATGGAATTTCATGATTCGACTTTCTGCTGATAGACGACAGCAACACGCTCCAGATCCAAGTTACAGATCACCGTTTGATTCAGCGAACAGATCGTTATCAATATTTGAAGCCGTCTGACGGAAATCCAACTGTGCTCTCTATCTCTCATTATAGGCACACCTAAGCCTATTGTGATTATAACAACCACGACTCACCACAACCCACCACAATCCACCACAACCAATCACAACCTGCCACAACATATCGCAACCCACCAAAACCCACCATAACTCACCACAAGTACCCATAACAACCCACAAATCACCACAACTCACTACAACTCATCACAACTCACTACAAACCTCCACAACCAACCACAACTCACCACAACCCACCACAACCCAACACAACTCCCCACAATCCACCATAACTCACCACAACTACCCATAACTACCCACAACTCACCACAACCCACCATATCTCACCACATATCACCACAACCCACCACAACCCACCACAACCCACCACACCTCACCGCAACCCACCACAACCCACCACAACCCACCACAACACTCCATAACCCACCACAGCCCACCATAACCTTCCACAACCCACCGCAACTCACCACAACACACCACAACCAACCACAACCCACCACAATCCTTCACAACCCACCACAACCCTCCACAACTCACAACAACTCACCACAACTATCCACAACTATCCACAACTCACCAAAGCCCACCAAAACTCACCACAACCAACCACGACTCACCACAAATCACCACAACCCACCACAACCCCCAACTGTTATAATCACAATAGGCTCAGATGTGCCTAAAATGAGAGAAATTGTGCACAGTCAGAGTTCCGTGAGACAGTTTCAAATGTTGATGCCGATCTGATGTATGCCTTAAACGGTGATCTGTAAATTGGATCTGGAGCGCGTTTCTGTCGTCTATCAGCAGCAAGTTGAATCATAAAATTCCGTGAAGATTTGACGACGCTATGACGGTTTGACTGGCAGGAGGTACAGCAACCACTATAGTCTTAGGAGTACAAAAACTTAGAAAGAAGAATTCGAGAGGGAGATGGTTCCCAGCCTCTACATACCTCAAGAGCCGAGTTCCAAGATGGTGGTACACCACCACAGAGTCCCCAACCACGAAGAGTCTCGAAACCAACCCTGCAAGGGCCTACACCAAGTGAAATGTAACACTACACGAAGTAGCGTTACTATTTTCACTATTTAATATTTATCCGTGTCCCTTGGGCTTGAAATCTTGAACTCTTGGTCTTGGTTCTGCAAGATAAATTCTTCTTGAGTTGATGGGGGCTTGCTGCACACACCTGCGACGCGATGGACACTTCACACTCGACAAAAGAGAAAAAACACATGCGACACGCAAACGACGACTTGACATGCGAGTTGCAAAAACTCGCTAAAGTCTTGACCGACACAAACAACATTGTGATACACCATTCAAACACACACACAAGCACTACATTGCAATGACATAGACTCACAATTCATTCCATGCCATGCATGCACACACACAAACAAGGACGACAAGCCGAGTGCAAGCCATAGGGTTGCACCAACAGTTTAGACCATGTGGAGGTGGGAGTTTAGACAGGGTGGAGGTGGGAGTTTAGATGGGTTGGCTGTGAGAGTTTAGACCGTGTGGTGGTGGGTAATTAGACCCAGTGGTGATAGAAGTTTAGACCGGCTGACGGTGGGATTTTAGAACGCGTGGTGGTGGGATTTCAGACCAGGTGATGGTGGGAGTTTAGACCGCGTTGTGGTGGGAGTTTAGACCGGGTGGTGGTGGGAGTTTAGACCGGGTGGTGGTGGGAGCTTAGACCGGTTGGTGGTGGGAGCTTAGACCGGGTGCTGGTGGAAGTTATGACCGGGTGGTGGTGGAT